ATTAATCGATTAATGTTTTTCTGACGATTAATTGCACACGATACGATTATGCCCAACCCTAGTTGTTACCAACATCTGGTGAAAATTTCATGTCATTAGCACCTCTAGTAATATATTTACTGAGAAAAATGGTGAAGTGTTCAATACTTATTTTACCCACTGTGTGTATAAATATATCCTTATATTTAATAATATAGCTAAGATTTTAACAAAATCTAGTCTGTCTTTGGTGAATCATTTAGAAAATATGGATGTTGAGCTTGTGCCTTTTCCTTTTGGTGCAGTGTGATCTCGGTAGATGACTCTGCACTTGCTCAGCCATCTGGCAAAAATAGGATCAGATCTAATTTTGGTGGATTCCTGGCATCCTGCAAATGCAGTGTAAATGCTCTCACTGATTATTATAGGTGCGTTGTTTTTGCTGACGTCGGAGCGGACGCACTGTGAACTGGGTGCAATCGTTCATGTTTGTCAGCACAACCTTTGACCAGAAAACCTGGAGTAGGAACGTTTAGACCTGTTATAGTCAATAAGTAATATACAAAAAAAATGCATTGTGTAAAATCCTTGTTTTTGTTTATTTCAAGTTGTGTTATTTTATGTTGGGCTGTTAACTACTGGCCTTCTTTTGCCTGCATATAAATGCTAAATGCCAAACAATGTTCGCAACATGTTAAGCACTAAAACATTTTCAACTGTTGTTGTTTGATCAGGACCAATAATTTGTCAGTAAAACAGGCACAAAATGTATTTCCTCCTGAAATTTTGCTCCATGCTTCTGTGTCTAGTGTGTAATTTAAAGTGTTTTTGTGGTTAGAAATAAAAAATGGCCTGAAAATTGGTAGAAATGAAGTCAGGAAATGTGGAATTATGAAACGTGTAGTAAATTAGTTCTGCGTCACTCTGTTAGGCTGACATTCATCGATGAGTTGGACTGCAGTTTCAACGAGATCGAAGCCTTGCCCTCGTCCATTGGTCAGTGTGTCAGCATTCGCACCTTCGCTGCGGATCACAACTTCCTTACACAGCTTCCACCTGAGGTGAGCGTATGTGTTGGAACGTTTAGCGTGCGTTGGTCTGCTCAGTTTGCACTGCTGGCACATGACTCAGGGGTCCTGCTTTGCTTTTCTCACAGATGGGCAACTGGAAGAACGCGACGGTGCTTTTTCTGCATTCCAACAAGCTGGAGTATTTGCCTGAGGAGATGGGAGACATGCAGAAACTCAAAGTTATCAATCTGAGCAACAACAAGTGAGCCTCAGCTGACTGATTTACTAATTTACTACATTTTTATGACTCGAGAAAGTTGTAAAATTACCAAAAAATTTCAAGTATGTGAGTTTTTTTTTCAGCTTGTACTTTTGTTTTTTTGTTTTTCAGATTAAAAAATCTTCCCTACAGTTTCACCAAACTCAGTGAGATGACCGCCATGTGGCTGTCTGAAAACCAGGTAGGACTAAAAGTATTACATTTTCTACAAAGTACTGCAGGAAACATAAGAGCCAGATGAGTCACGGTAAAGCCTGCAGCGTCCATTACTTGCAGTCAAAATTTGGCTGTAAACGAAGGAGCAAGGTCACGCTCTTCAGGGGAAAATGTCTGAAATGTCCTAAACCACTTCCAGGACATTTGATCTGAACTTGTCAGATGGCGGTACAGGTCAGCTGCAGACACCTAAAACTCTGTTTTAAAGTGTAGGAGGACCTTAATGAATGTCAGAAAATAAGATCCCTCTCTTAATGGTTGAGGAAAGACAGGAGGGTAAATTTTGACTAAAACCTTGAGCTGGTAACTTCTGAATGAAGTTGGACCAGTTTTTTTTTTTACATAAAACAGCCACCAGCTATAGAGAAGTATGAGCAAGAATGGCAGGTTTTGGTTTCTTAAGCTGGAAACATACTCCCTGCAAACTGCCGACATCAGCACGGGTTGTCGCAGTTTAATGACGAAAATTACGTCGCCGGGCTTCACAACGTCGTGTCGACAGCCCCTTTTGGCACAAGCCCCCGGCAGGACTTTTTGACCCCCCTCCCTTGTCGACGGTAATGTGTGATTGGTCTGAACTGAAAGCGCAGCTTTCACAGCAGAAGAAAAAACAAAAACTCACTTCTGACTAGAGCAGGCTGTTTTGAGCAGTTTTAAAGATAGACAAACCGAGAAAAACTCATGCGTGTTTGTGCTGACAGCACTATGCGCTGCATTTACTTCAACCACTCAGTAAAAAAACGGGAAAAAAACAGACTATCTCCCCGAGCCGACCAGGAAGCAGAGTTTTATAAAGATAGTCAAACCGTGAAAAACTCATGAATGGAGATAAACAGACATAACAGATAAACAGGCATGGAGGAATCTGAAACTGTGGAGCTTTTTAACCAGGACAGATGTGGATAAAAATCCATCGGGTGAGTGACTTTTTTCTGCGTTGCTGTTGAGGGGAGAAATTCCCTGCAGTGACGTATGTTTCAGCAGGAGGGAGGGGTTCCCCTGAGCTCGGAGCAGTGTGCAGGAACTATGAAAGGTCTGTGCAAAAACGACTGCCGAACAACCACGTGACCGCGCGTCGACCCGTCGGCGTCGGAGCGAGTATGTTTCCAGCTTTAAAGGGATCCCCGATTAGTTGTAACATTAGATGTGATAAACATATATTTTAACTGTAAAATAAAGACTGTAAAAACACTGTCGAATGTTTAGTTTTTATAAATTTTAAACTAAAAGTTTAAAAATATATTTTAACACGGACGGAGCCATTTTATTTCCACACAAAGCATTCTGGGTAAATGATGACGTGGATAGGTCCTCGGTGCGAGGCTGCTAGCGAGCTATATCCACCCTGAAGGTTAATCTTGGACAATATCTGATGATCGACTCTTTTAAATGAAACCAGAGAGCGTTGACAGAGAGGAGAAGGTAGAAATGACTCAGCCTGGAACTGAAAATATCAGTGTTGTATAAAGTTCCACAAAGTGATACTCGAGTAAAAGTACAAGAATCTTACCCAAAAATTACTTTGGTAAAAGTTAAAGTCTCCTTTAGGAATATTACTTGAGTAAAAGTCTTCAAGTGTCTGATATTTTTTGTATCCTTTATAAAATACGGAAGAAGGACCTCAGTTTAGCTTGTTTGTTGCACTAGCACCGAGCTAATACATATACATATAAGACAATATAGCGTCAACGCTAGCACAAAGGCTAACATGCTAAGCTGTGGTTCTTCTTCCATGAAGCAGCTCTGTTGTCCTCCATCCATATTTTCAGTTCCAGGCTGAGTCATTTCTACCTTCTCCTCTCTGTCAACGCTCTCTGGTTTCATTTAAAAGAGTCGATCATCAGATATTGTCCAAGATTAACCTTCAGGGTGGATATAGCTCGCTAGCAGCCTCGCACCGAGGACCTATCCACGTCATCATTTACCCAGAATGCTTTGTGTGTAAATAAAATGGCTCCGTCCGTGTTAAAATATATTTTTAAAAATTTACAAAACTAAACATCCTACAGTATTTTTACAGTCTTTATTTTACATTTAAAATAAATGTTTATTAAATAAAGTCTAATGTTACAACTAATTATGGATCCCTTTAAGGGTGTGCACAGTTATGCAACCAGCATCTTTTTATTCCTTATATTTTCCCCCTCAACAGTTTATATTTATTTATTTGTTTGTTTGTGTGTATTTTTTAAATCAGAACATATTTGATCAATAGTAAAATGCTAAATTTTACTGTGTACCTTTTTTATTTAGTTTTATTTACAAAAACTTTCCCCCATATAAATACATTGACATTTCCTAAATTCCTTTTAGAAATAATTGTTCTTTGAAATCATCAGCATGCTCGATCATGTTGTAGTCATAATCTTTTTCTTTCTTTTTTTGTCTGTGTTGCTAATTATAGCTTTACTGAATGTCTTGCTAACTTTTTTGTTTTTAGTTTTGAATTTATGTTTATCATTACTGTGGTTTGCCCATTTTAGCTTTTTGCTCTGGTTTTGCAACATTTAGATACTGCTTCAAACGTTGGCATTACGCTACAGTTTTGCTATTTTTCGTTCTTTAATACAAAATCGTATTTATTTTAAGGTTCTGGTAAACTGAAGCTGTTTTTAAAATGCTTAAAAGCTGCTGTATAAAATAAGCCTTTTTATTTCACATCTCTGTTGCTTGTTCAAGTTAATTATTAAAACTAAATTTAAAAAGAAAATTCAATGACAATCCGTGTATGGCTAGTTCTTTAAATTTTATTTTTCAAAATAAAATGAAAAAAAAAACTTTTTAGTTTGTTTTAAAACTAAATAAGTTGTGTTACATACAACCACCCTGACACTGTCACAAATTCTATAATCAAATTGAGAATAGGTTTGGAGTGCAGCCATTGCCAATATCTTTTAGAAATGATTTCTGTTTTTAGTCTTCCAGCCACTATAATTTTTTCTTCTTTGGTGACTTATATTATTTACAGTATCGCTATATAATAAGACAACAACTGTGTATTTTATTTTGGATTTAGATGGCTGAAGCAAAAAAAAACACTGGATTTTTAATTGTTTGATTTTGCATTTTTACATTTAGGTTTTCTTATGATTTTGTTTTGAAATGGACAAACCAAAGGACAAACCATACACAGATTAATGACCCTCACTACCCCACCCTAATTGTTTTTTAGCTTAAGTTTTGTAATTCTTAACAGTACTGTACAGACAGGAAGTCTGACAGGAACTACAGCACACTGATGAGCCATAAAGCAGCTTCACTGAGTAACAGATGAAACAAAAGTTGTCAGTGTGGTGTAAAGAAATCTCCAAACAGATCAGAGATGCAGAATCTCAACCATTAAAAGAGTGACTAAAGAGTTGTGAACATCTTTAAAGCTTGTTGTGCTTTAAGGTCATTTTTCCTCAACAAAACATTGGTATAATAATGACTTCCAAGACACCTTTAAAAGGTCTGGCATGACATTAAAAACCTTGAAGAAATAATTGAAATAAAGTAGAAAGTATGTGTTTGTTTCTCCCTTTTTTTTAAGTAAACCAACAAAACCTATTAATCAAAAAGACAGCAACACTCTGCACTGGAGGGATTTGAGAGAAAACCACAGGTCCTATAGCAACAAGAGACTCTCTGGATGAAAGAAGACAAAGATGTCTGTTATAAACTGTTTGAGTTGTCTGATTTCTGAGGGTGAAAAAAGTTAGAAAATAAATTGTGAGGTTAAACAGCACAAAATCATCCCACTCTAAGGTCAACATTTTGTGGAAGAATCTTAAATAATCCCCTAATCAGTGTGCATTGCCAATGCAATGCGCACTATTGTGATTCGTTTCCCATCCAAGTCATCTCAACTTTGGCATGCTTCTCCTCCTGCATACTTTGTCCTAGAGCTGCCATTGTAATTTATATCTGTAAAGCCCTTGTGCCAAATGATGGCTATGCCTTTTGGTGCCTGTAAAACTTACAGTTTTTGAAATATTAATGTTTAATAAATTATAATGGTAGTCAATGGAGCCTTGTATTGGTCCAATACTGCCCCCTGCTGCATCTACACGATATGGTACTGCACCATAATTTCATGATATTTAAACTCAGTAGTTCAGTGATTACAATATTAATATGATTGTATTTTGATGTTTTACTGTTATACTGTCTTTATGTTGTCCTATTGCTGTAATATATTGCAAGTGTCAATAATTGCATTGGCAAGGTAAACTTTTTCTGTAAACATACAATCCAATCCCTGGGATTGTTCTCTGCCACATCTCATATAGTCTCATGATGAGCACTGTGGGCTTTCATGCGGGAGATCAGGGTTCAATCCCAGTTATGAACAAACACTTTCATTCAAACCACATATTTTCAGATTATATTGTCACACCATTACATTCAATGGTTCAGTGTTTACAATAAAAATATGATTTTATTCTCATGCTTTACTATACAATTGTTTTAATGCTGCTCTCTTGTTGTAATATTATGCAGTTTAGTGTCAATAATTGGATTGGCAATGTGGCCTCTTTCTGCACACATAGAAACCAACCCCTGCCACCACCTTCTGCCACAACTCCACTGGTCTAATGGTCTATGTCATGGACTTTCATGTGGGAGATCAGGGTTCAAAACCAGGCTAATGCAACCTTAAGAAAAAATCTCTTCAAACTTCATATTGTCACACGATTACCTTAATTACAAACACCTGCTGACGTGACAGGCACAAGCTGGTATAGAAAACACATTTGAACTTGGTCAACGTTCATTCTGTAAGTCCAATGCTGCAGGCAAAGCCATGCTGCAATGACATGCTACGTGGCAATGCACACTTGTTTTTACATCGTAAAAACCCATGTCTAGTTTTTTACTGTGTTTTTGTGAAAGCCATAAAACCGTCGTAGTACTGAAGGATGTTTCTGCTGTGCAGTAAGTCTGAGCTGTAGAGTTCTGAGTTTATTCACTTATTTTGCCAGAATCCCACTGTTGTCTGTGGGGAATTATTTTAGTGGATTTTGTGTGGACAGAACGTCATCTCAGCCACCGTTCTGGTGTTGCCAAACTAAGAATCCTTTTTGTTTTGTGTGTTTCAAAGAACCTTTGATTTCAGATGCTTTCTGTCTCCACAGTCGAAGCCGCTGATCCCTCTCCAGAAAGAGGAGGATCCAGAGACTCACAAAACTGTGCTGACCAACTACATGTTCCCCCAGCAGACCAGTACTGATGAGTGTGAGTGGACAGCAACACACATTCTACACTATCTACACAGTCCGTTGTATTAACTCTATTTTAGACGAACAAGGTCATTTGCATTTTCTGCAAACATCCAGTGTGAATGTCTAATGCTGAGTTTTGCTCATTAGCTTAACAATCTTAAACTAGTCTTAAAAAGGTAGCTGAAATAGCTGAAATTAGCACAAAGAAACAGAATGAGCATGTTTGCTGAATTAAGCAATAAGAAGCTGAAAATATCACAAAAAGGTAAATTTAGCTGGAAAAAGCTCAATTAGCTAAAAGTAGCTAAAAACACAGAAAACAGCTGAAACAACAAAAAAAGCTTCAATTAGCAGAACGAAGCTGAAATTAGCTGAAGAATAGCAGAATAGGTCAGAATTATGGCTAAAAAAAGCAGAAAACAGCTAAAATCAGCCAAAATAGAAGCCACAGATTTTGCCCAAAATTGAAAAAATCCGAACCAGAACAAAAGATAAAAAATAAAGATAAAGATTTATGAACATTTTTAAAGGGGCAATATCATGTAAAATCAACTTTTTTGAGTTTTATATCATGATATAATGTTATACTCTCATAAAAACCAGGCCCAAAGCCTTGCTTTGACTCATTCATGTATGTTTGAGAAATCCTGCAGTGTTTTTATGAAGCCCTGAGGAGCAAAACGACAGGTGGGGACCAGAAACACCACTGGGAAGTGTCTTTAAGCCGAACTTCCTCATGGCAGAGTACACACACACACACACACACACACACACACACACACACACACACACACACACCACGCCCATGACTCCTGCAGGCTCTCGGGTGAAAGTGAAACCTAACTGTCTGCTGAGCTCTCAACATTAGTTCTCACTCAGTGAAGCTCTTTCTAGATTAAAAATACCTTTGAGGAAATGTATTTTCAGATGCCAAGTAAACTGCATCATGGCAGCAGCCCCCCACCCCCGCACCGAAATGAGCAAAACAGTAGTGGAAGTTGGTCCGTAAAGAGACAGAGGCCAATTTCAAGGCGTTTAGAAGAGGTGGTGATGAGAAGATAAGTTTATTTTCTATTTAAACATAAAAACAGCATTTTAATGACAACTAAAGGTGACATAGATACTTCATCATGGTATAGTATTTAAATATATTCCTGAGAAACACATAATATTGCCCCTTTAAGAGTTTAATGGATGTTGAAGACAGCTCTGTTCATTTCTGAGGAGAAAACCACGTCCAAAACAAAAACGAAACTTCTCAAACAGTATAATTTGCTGAAGCATCAAAAGTCATAGCAGGAATCTCTTAAAGGAGCTGAACGTTTTCATAAGGAAATCTTTGAAATATGACAAAAATTGCGGAAAAATGTGTGGAAGGAAAAGAAAATTGTGTGACTGCTTGATAATCAGTCACACAATTAGAAAGTGACCAGCTTTTACCAACAAGACAGAATGCATTAGTGTCTGTAGTGTGTTTTATAGGGCCAGTATTATGTGTTTCTCAGGCATATATTTAAATACTATACTATAATAAAGTATATATGTCACATTTAGCTGTTATTGAAATGCTGTTTTTATGTTTAAATAGAAAATAAACTTCTCATTACTTCCTCTTCTAAACGCCTTGAAATTGGCCTCTGTCTTTTTAAGAACCTCCTTCTGCTTCCGTTTTGCCCATTTTGGTGCGGGGGTGGGGAGGTATGAGGAAGTTTGGCTTAAAGTGTCGTTCCTGTGGTGTTTCTGGTCCCCACCTGTTGTTTTACTCCTCAGCATGGCTTCATAAAAACGCTGCAGGATTTCTCAAACATGGATGAACGAGTCAAAGCAAGGCTTTGGACATGTTTTTTATGAGTGTGTAACATTATAACATGATATAAAACTCAAAAAAGTTGATTTTACATGATATTGCCCCTTTAAAACCTGTTAATCATAATGTCACTTTCAGGTAAATTGAATTAGCTTCGATGTCACATTTTACGGCCTAGCCAGGACTAAAGTTACAGTGTTTGTTAGCACAAGCTTATAGGTGACCTACAAGGATCCCTAACTGCATATTTGATGAGAGACCTTGTTACCTGAGGCTGCAGAAGAAACCCTAGTTGCCATCTTGTTGTCAAGCTTCCATCTGTTCCTTTGCTTTGGGTTTCAGTGCTCCGCTCAGGTTGGACTGCTCCTGTTGTTCAGGGTTCAAGGGTGCTTGAGCTACTGAGTCAAGAGCTTGATTTTTGTGGATGTCAGTGGTTTGTTGCACCACTGCTGAAGTTAATGTCTGAAGTTCTGCTCTCTGCTTCCTGTGTGCCAGCTGTGCACTTTATACTACTACAGGTTATTTTTCTTTACATAGATACCCGTTTTAATGAGCTTGGTCTGTTTTCTTGAGAAGCTGGATTTAGTCGCCACGCAGCTGCAGTTACTGTACTTTACGACTCATAATAAAGAGACACAAGGTGACTCGGATCAGACTGCTCTCACGTTATGGGGTCATGTGTGAAGCTGCTCTAGAGTTTGTGATAAGGCTCTGCAACCAGATAAGATCACTTTGAAGGTACGATCTCATCTACAAGAATGAAAATGTTGCTAAATCAAGGCTCAGGAAACCACACACACCAGCTCTGAAGTGTTTTACGGTCACATAACGGTAACACTTTCAGTGAAGACCAGGTTGCTAATGCATGCAAATTTATGTTAAACATTTTTTATTCATTTATAATTCATTTTTATAAGTGAGCTGTATTTATGTCAGATGTTTTTTTATAATCATTGTAAAGAGAACGGAGATAAAACTGCTTACTTGTTAACTTTTAATAAGAGAAATTATGCAAACATAGCAATTGGTCTGACTTGGTTGCCTGCTACTTTCACTTTGCCTCATACTGTTTTACTGCCACCTGGTGGTTCAAGTCGGTAAGACGCGTCTTAAAAATCCTGCTGGAAATAACCTGTTGCTTGGCTTCTGTTTGCTTCTAGTCCTTCCCAGATCTGACTCTGAGAGCTTCAATCCGGCTCTGTGGGAGGAGCAACGCAAGCAGCGAGCTCAGGTGGCCTTCGAGTGCGACGAGGACAAGGATGAGAGAGAAACTCCCCCGAGGGTGAGCGGTCCCACATTTGTTACAGTTTACATCATTCAGAAAGGAGAAAATAATACATGCAACATAATAAAGGTCACAGAAACAAAAACCATCTTTATAAACCTCCAGTATATAAACTGAAGTTAAAGGAGAGAATAGAAAAGGAGATGAATACAAGGTGTTTATGTCAAGATGTGTGTTCCCGAACAAAACAAATATGGTTAATATAAATAATGTAAACTTTAGAACCAAAGAACAAAAAATAATGTGCAGTTACACATTATGAACAAACATTCAGAGTGACGTAAACTGAGCAAGCTTTTGAACAGTAATTGGAATATTTACTACAGAAATGAAGTTTTGGGATTGCTGAGCCCAGGGACTTTTAGACAGCTCTCTCTCTCTGACCACGTGCAGTTACAGTTCAGCTACCAGGAGCTAACAAATGAACCAGAGATATGTACTCAAGTCAAAAACAACCTTGTCTGTGACGTAACACTGAGTAGACATTGTGAGGTTAACAGTACAGAACATTTTCAGTTAATTTAGCCTTTCTATTTCTTGATCAGTTTACCTGTAATACAGTGCTTCTAAAGAAACAAACAAATGACAGATTTTAAATTTCTCACCAAGCGCCCACACATTAGTGCAGCCATGTGAGAAGATGTCAACTTTGTTTTTTACCAACTGCAGCCCAGACCTGCTCAACTAACGGATGTTTAGCAGCAAGTCATCTGACTCATAAACCAAATAGTTCTGGAACCTCAGACTGCAAAGTAAACACAATCACAGTTTGAAACTTTATGTGAAGCCTTTAATTGTAAAATAAAAAAAATTAAAATCCTTATTTCAATACCTTTAACATATTTATAAAAGGTGCAAACCTGCTGAGTAACTGTTTTAAAGCAATGTCCTGATGCATCTCAGTAAACCAAGTAAAAAATCAAAAAGAAAAAAACTGTATAGGTCTTCTGGACGGGTTCTTCTCTAATGAAACGTTTCGTCTCTCCTCCAAGAGACTTCTTCAGTCTGAGAGTTTCAGGCAAAATTCAGGCTTTTAAGCCCTGCCTCCATGTGACTGATACTCACATCACATGGCTATCGTTCACACCTAATTAACACCTATTGTTAACAGGGGGTGGAGTGATACTGGCAATAGCAGCACTGTAGGAGGGGGACAACTGAAAACGGAGGCCTCCACCTCTGTTTAATGATGGACGGTCTTTCTTCACAAAAATGGCTTCTTTTACTCCTCTCTCAAACCAACGTTCCTCCCTATCAAGAATGAGAACATCCTCATCTCTGAAAGAGTGACCGCTGGCCTGTAAATGAGTGAAAACTGCAGAGTTCTGGCCATTAGATGTAGCTCGTCTGTGTTGGGCATTCTTTTGAACAGTGGCTGCTTTGTTTCCCCGATGTATAACTGGTCGCAGTCCTCCTGGCACTTAACAGCATATACAACAATGCTCTGTTTGTGCCGGGGCACCGGATCTTTGGGGTGAACCAGCCTTAGCCTTACCCCAAAACACATTACGGCAAAGGCTGGGAACCCGGCTTGAGAACCCCGCACCAAGCTCCTGGGACCCCACCCCCCCACCCCAACCCGCGCTGCTGCATACGTCACTACATGGGATTTGTAACCAGAGGGAGTCCAATGCGGAAAAAAAAAAAGTCCAACACTCATCACTCTACGTTATTTATCCACAAACTGGTCCAGGATTAAGCTCAAAAGGTTTTATCAGTCAGATTTCACAGTGAAAATAATCTATTTTATCCCCTTTTATGAGGTTTTGACTATCTTTATAATCGCTGCTTCCTGGTAGTCGGCGTTCGAACGAGTCACGTTTTTTTCTCTTTTTTTCTTTTAAGCGAGTGGTTGAAGAAAACGCAGCGTCTGAGCGCTTTTAGCACAAACAAACACTCCCACAAACTTCTGACAAATCACACCATATAGTTCGTATGTGTTCTTATGTGGAGGGGGGTGAAAATTTCGACCCGCACACACACCAGAGCCCAGAGTGATGGGGCTGAGCAGGGGTGAGGCAGTGCGCTCCGGTCCAGTTCGGAACTGGTTAAAGTTATTTGTTCAAATGTATGATTGTTATGGATTATTCATTTTGTAACTAAACATTATAATACAGCACTATTCGGGTCATTTGTGGTGCACCAAAGCAAGAACATGACGAGAAGAGGAGCTGCAGTGGCTCCGACTCCGAGAGAGAGAAAAAAAAAGGAGAGACGCAGCACTGTTATTTTATTCCCTCATTTGCACAGATCACAATAATGATGATTAAAACTTAATTTACAGAGAAGGGCGCATTTAAAATTTATTTTACATCCCTGGCACAGCATTTAATTAATTAATAAAGATCGCCCTTAAAAAAAATCGCATTCCAACCCTTCAATCGCTGATAGACGATTGAATCAAAAATCACGCCATCCCTAATGCACACTACCCAAACAGAAATAGAAGAATGATTTAATTATGTGGCAAAACATCCTGTTATATTTTGAGCCCAAGTCAAAGGAGCAATCAGGCAGAGTTGAGCACACACAGCCCATTATTATCTGCTCAGATTGGTGCGCACACTTTAGTCCTTCCCCCTGCTTTCTTTGATGGCACAAATAATTCTCCATAAAAAAACAAAACAGCTGCACGCCTTTCTGATTGCTTTGTCCAACACTCAGATTTCAGTGAGACTGCAGCTGAAAATTTGCTGTGTTCTTGCGTTTCTTTTATTGCCAACAAATCTCCAGCACTCGCAGCCAAGTGAGACACTAGCCTCAGAGGTCAGACGAAGCAGAACCGAGTGATGCGGTCTAGCAGCTTTTCAGGAACCCTCACAAAGCGTCTGAGCTTTTCAAGAACAGATTGGGCAGAGAATATATTATTCATGCATTTGTTCTCCACCAGGAGGGAAACTTGAAACGTTACCCAACCCCTTATCCAGAGGAGCTGAAGAACATGGTGAAGACAGCCCAGTCGGTGGCTCACAGGCTGAAGGAGGATGAAACGAGCGACGACACCAGACCAGCCGAGAGAAACCACATTGGAGTGCAGGATGTGGGAGTTAAGGTCAGCCTCAGCTTTTCTGTCTTCAGTTCCTGTTTATTAAAAATGAACAAATGTTTAGTTTTTTTTTCCTGCAAACATCACTTGAATTGTTTTACACAGGTAATAGAGGCCCCATGTCCCAATGGTGTCGAGTCGGACTCTGAGCCTCTGGTATCCTCCAGCTCATATGCACATAGTCCCTCTGCAACTGAAGCCAAAGATACTTCAGAGTCTCTCAGCTCCCAGAAAGTTCCTCTCCGATCCTCACATGGTTTGATGATGAACCACGAGGACACACTAGAGGTTATCAAAATGTTGTGACTTCCTTCAATTTCTCAAAGCATTGCAGCAAAGACTGTAATAAAAAAAAATCCACCGTTTATAAAAAAAACGTACTTTTTGTCTTCAGGATTCTGAGGAGCTGACCGATGAGGAAGAGATGAAAGTTGCAGAGATGAGACCTCCTCTTATTGAGATTTCCATCAATCAGCCAAAAGTAGTGACTTTAAGTAAGGATAAAAAAGGTAATGTTAGTGATCATAAAAAAAATATTTCAAGCAGAAATGTGAAGCGTCTTGATTATTCTAATGTAAACGTGCTGTTTGTCCCGAACAGATGATGGGAAAGATGCTGACTCTTTGCTGGATGACACGGTGGCTAACAGCAACCAGAACAACAGTAACTGTTCATCACCATCACGCATGTCCGACTCCGTGTCTCTGACCACGGACAGCAGTCAGGACAACTCTCTGTGCACACCTGAGAGAGAGGCAAAGATGCCATTCCTTCCAAAAACCCGGTTAGTGTAACTCTTTCATAAAAATAAAGGCCTAGCATTTCCTGAAGGAATGTGAATCGTTCACTGCTTTACATGCTAGCTGTGGTTAGAAATGACAGAGATGTAGCTGTCTTGGTTGTAGGGATGCATCCAATAATGTCTTCCTGAAAGTTTCAATAAAACGTATCCAGTGGAACATACAGACACACAACACAATAAAAAGTGTGGCATTCCTTCTGTTTTAAAGGGATCACTGATGAGCTGTAACATTAGACTTTAATGATAAACAAATATTTTAACTGTAAAATAAAGACTAAAAATACTGTAGGCTGTTTAGTTTCGTAAATTTTTTTAAAATTTTTTTTAACACGGACGGAGCCATTTTATTTACACACAAAGCATTCTGGGTAAATGATGACGTGGATAGGTCCTCGGTGCGAGGCTGCTAGCGAGCTATATCCACCCTGAAGGTTAATCTTGGACAATATCTGATGATCGACTCTTTTAAATGAAACCAGAGAGCGTTGACAGAGAGGAGAAGGTAGAAATGACTCAGCCTGGAACTGAAAATATGGATGGAGGACAACAGAGCTGCTTCATGGAAGAAGAACCTCAGCTTAATCTGTTAGCATTTGTGCTAGCACCAATGCTATATTGCCTTATATGTATTAGCTCGGTGCTAGCGCGACACACTAACAAGCTAAACTGAGGTCCTCCATCCATATTTTCCAGAGTTGTAAAGTAACTAAGTACAAATACTTTGTTACTGTACTTAAGTAGAATTATTGGGTATCTATACTTAACTTGAGTAATTATTTTTCATTTTATTTTTTACTTCTACTTCTTACGTTTCACACAATTTTTAGCACTTTCTACTCCTTACATTTTAAAAAAATGCAAGAAGTAGAAAGTCATTACTTTTATTTCATTTTTGCTTGTTTTCATTCCAGCTTGTTATTGTAAAAAATAAGTACTATCCATATTTGTACCTCCTAGATAGTTAGTTTAATTGTGGTTGAATGAGAAGTATAAATATTTAAAATTTGTACACAAACAAATGTCACACTCCAGCAGGACATAATCATTCAAATAAAAGGACTGTAGTTAAGAAGTATTTGTATTTCATGAATTATATTATTACATTTTGCCGCAGCCCTCAGATAGATTTTCATTTTGGGGAAAAGRTTTGTGCAGCCTTGATATATGTATATAAACTGAAACAGTAGTGCATCCTAAATTTAACATAAATTATTTTAATACGACACTTATTTCTGCTTTTTTTTCCTAATAAATGTCCTTACAGAAAATCTAACTGCTCATTTTAAATCAATAGTTTTACTTTTAATACTTAAGTACAAAAAATATCAGATACTTGAAGACTTTTACTCAAGTAATATTCCTAAAGGAGACTTTAACTTTTACCAAAGTAATTTTTGGGTAAGTTACTTGTACTTTTACTCGAGTATCACTTTGTGGTACTTTATACAACATTGATATTTTCAGTTCCAGGCTGAGTCATTTCTACCTTCTCCTCTCTGTCAACGCTCTCTGGTTTCATTTAAAAGAGTCGATCATCAGATATTGTCCAAGATTAACCTTCAGGGTGGATATAGCTCGCTAGCAGCCTCGCACCGAGGACCTATCCACGTCATCATTTACCCAGAATGCTTTGTGTGGAAATAAAATGGCACCGTTCATGTTAAAATATATTTTTAAACTTTTAGTTTAAAAATGATAAAAACTAAACAGCCTACAGTATTTTTACAGTSTTTATTTTACAGTTAAAATATATGTTAATTAAATAAAGTCTAATGTTACAACTAATCCTGAATCCCTTTAAAATCTGAAGCTTGTTTCTCTTCTGCTAATAAAATTTTGTGTTTTCAGGCAGGAGGATGAGAACATGAACCATCCTAAAGACACCACCCCTCTCCTCCATAACGGTAACGGCTCTGAAACGTCTCTTCAGGCCCTGTTAAAAACCCAGCAGACGCCCCCAGACTACGACCTGACCATGGAAGCCAAGCTGGCCTTCATTGAGAAGGGGATCAACAACGGCCTGGGGGACGCCTTCAACAAGTGGGACCGGATTAACATGAACGTGACCAAGCTGCCGGCCTACACCTCCGCTCAGCTGGATGAGCTGGAGATGGCGAAGAACGGTCTGGCTGTTCAGCAGGACTTGAGCAATGACAACACGGATCATTTACGGAACGGGAATCGGCAGGGGGGCGACTGCACGGGTGGTCTGGGGGGTCCAGCGGGCGTGAGTGGCAGCAGCGATGCGTCTCTGTCACGCAGCACAGAGGACCTGTCTCCTGAGAAACACGCTCCTCCTCCTCAGGTGATGAAGTCACACAGTGTTAGCAGCATGGAAACAGGAGGGATGAAGCTGTACTCCTTTGATGGGGATGAAGACTCTTATGATGCATCATCAAAGACTAGGGGGGCCGGTCTAGGACCTCAGGGCCAGAGTATAGTCCGAAGCAAGTCTGCTGGTCAGTTACTCAATGACCAGAACCTCCAGGTCTACCCTGGTTCCTCTACGTCTTCCTCAGATCTGCTGTCCTCATCCAAGCCCCCCGGCAGCACGAGCCGATATCCAGCTCCCTCCAACATGGGGGTCCCCCCTCCTCAGTATAATGTCCAGTACACAAACAGTGCCCTGCCTAAAGATGGCCTCTGGGCCCAGAGGGGGTCCGTCCCAACGGAGCACCAAGGATACGCTCCTCGTCATCCACACTCACTTGCCAACACCAACTACTCAAACCGTAACCAGGCACCTCCATACCCCCAGCAGAGGGGGGCTCCTAAAGGAGACTGGACCAAGGAGTGGCTTCCTTCCACAGGTGGCCAGCCTCGAAGCAGCACCCTGCAGCGGCAGAGCAGCAACGCCTCCTCAGTCTCCACGAGCGAGCCGAGACGCATCCAAGTACCCGAGGGGGACTACCTGACCTACAGGGACATTCACACCCTGGCCAGGGGACCACTGGCCATGAGCCAGGCCGTGCAGAGGCCCTTCTCTGCTCGCACCTACAGCATCGACGGCCCCGCAGCTTCCAGGCCAGCCAGGCCACAGCCACACGAGCTTCCAGAACGGACCATGTCCGTCAGCGACTTCAACTACCAGCACGGCAGCCCCAGCAAGAGGCCTAACACCAGGGTGAAGTCTGAGCACTCGCTTCTGGACGGGCCGGCACAGGGGCCGGGAGGGGCGGGGCCAGGACGGGTGCCGGTAGATTGGAGAGACCATGTGATGCGGCACATCGAGGCCAAGAAAATGGAAAAGGTAGAAATATAGACGTTATTTTTAGTAAAAAAATATATATATTCAATATTTTTTTCAAAATTTTCATGCCCAGGTTATTCATCCTCAGATATGTACCTGAATTATCGACTTAAATTGGAATTAGGATGTACACGGTTGTTTTTCTACTAATAGATGATGACACAGTTTTAAAATGTTTCGAATCTTTCTGGCTAGCCACACCAAGACTCCTCCTATTACGGAGCCCGCGAGGGGACGTGGGGATTTTTTTCTTTCGCGTTCCCACGCAATACCTTTGCGTTACCTCGCAATATTGTTTTGCGTTCCCACGCAAAAGTTTGATTTGTATATGAACTGAATTAAATCAGACTTTTATTTTGAAATATCTGGTTACCAAAACAGGATGTGTCGCTACAAGTTAAGTGAAATTGACATCGATGTTGTGTGGCTGCACTGTGTTCAAATATCAACATATGACATACTTCCATGTGTGGTTGTGTGATATATTCATTCTGAAGCTGAATTAAAGCAGTAAGCTAACTCACTAATGGTGAACATGTGAGTTTGTTTATAAAACGGCAGGCACAACAGTGATAAACGACTTTTGCGAGGGAACGCAAAAGGTATTGCGAGGTAACGCAATACTTTAGCGTGGGAACGCAAAAAGAAAAAAAATCCCCCGTGTCCCCTCACGGGCTGTGTATCCTATAAATTACTGCCACTCAAACTGGTTCTCAAACTTTTCATGTCATTCGCCTCTTGAAGGGAGAGAAATTGAATTTTGGTGCTTACAGCAGTGAAAGATGAAGCTCTAACAGGAACATTATTCACTTTTGGAAAAACTAATAACTGAGTTTATTCACATTTATGTTGCTTTAAAAAAAGTAAAGAACTTTTCTGCACAAACGTGGAATACTAAAACTACTAACCCATCTGTGTGTATGAAGTTCCTCTGATTCACTGCATGTCGGTGTGTATTTGCTGCAAACATTTACCGTGTTTTGTTTTTGTCGATCACTCATTTGGTGGATTGCATGGCCACCACTAACACATGGGCTGCTGTTGGTTGTTCTGTGTTGTCAGAATGCACTCTCTCGCTCCTATGTTTTCAATACTTCTCCGCCGAGTCGGTCTCACTACGGCAGCTGTAGGGAAATGCATGCCAGCCAAGGGTCCCTGGTTCTGTGTGGCAGGGACGGGCAGCCCTACGGAACCCTGAGCTTCTGTGTGAGTACTGTCTGACCGTAGCCGACTCCTGCAGCTCATAACAAGCCCAGGCTTTCACCTCTCTCTAGTTTCACATCCTTTTGAAACTAAAAGTAAATGTCTGTTTCCTTGTCCCCACAATGCTGAGAAGTGATCAAACCCACATGAGCTGTCTTTCACTCATCCTTTTAGAGAAATGAGTGTTTAGCAACATCTGATTTCCCATGACTGACAATAGTCTTATGTTAGATTTCTCAGTATTAGCTAGAAGGATTTTGATTTATGTTGTGTGTGATAATTACAAGTAGTTTTATTACTTTTATCTTAAGTGGTTAATAAACAGTTCTATGGTGATAGACATCCTGAGGGGATTCCATAAAGAAGCTTTAACAAATGTCCTGATGCATCTCAGTAATCCAGGTAGAAAAAAAAATCAGTAGGTCCTCTGGATGGTTCTTCTTTAGTGAAACATTTCGTCTCTCCTCCAAGAGACTTCTTCAGTCTGAGTTTCAGGTGAACTCAGCCTTATAAGCACTGCCTCCATCTGGTGGACAAACAGGTTAGTCACATGTAAAAGAGGGCCATCGCCTAACAAAAGGCTTGATTAGCTCTATTGTTCATAGAGGGATCCAGATCCAGTTCTCCGGCAAAAACAGAGTAATATAGTGTATGCTGTTAAGTGTCAGGAGGACTGTGATCAGTACATTGGGGAAACAAAACAGCCACTGTTCAAAAGAATGAGCCAGCACAGACGAGCTACATCATCAGGTCAGGACTCTGCAGTTTACACTCATCTACAGGTCAGGACTCTGCAGTTACTCATCTACAGGTCAGGACTCTGCAGTTTACACTCATCTACAGGCCAGGACTCTGCAGTTTACACTCATCTACAGGCAAGGACTCTACAGTTTACACTCATCTACAGGACAGGATTCTGCAGTTTACACTCATCTACAGGCCAGGACTCTACAGTTTACACTCATCTTTAGGACAGGATTCTGCAGTTTACACTCATATACAGGAAAGGATTCTGCAGTTTACACTCATCTACAGGCCAGGACTCTGCAGTTTACACTCATCTTTAGGACAGGATTCTGCAGTTCACACTCATATACAGGAAAGGATTCTGCAGTTTACACTCATCTACAGGCCAGGACTCTACAGTTTACACTCATCTACAGGACAGGATTCTGCAGTTTACACTCATCTACAGGCCAGGACTCTACAGTTTACACTCATATACAGACCA